TCCTGATGATCACGACCCAAATAGATACCAAGATAGGCACATTTAGAGCGGCATACCCTCAGGTCACCTGCTTTCCTGACAAAGGTTAAACGTTACTCGGGTTAAAGCTAAACCATGTGATAAGTAGCCTTTTTATCATGAATATCAAGACTGAAAAATGTGGTACTTTTGGGGTGCCCCCTTCTGGAGTAAATATATAAAGAGCAAAATTGGGTATCAGATGTTTTTAGACAATTCACGCACGCCCCTACAATGCACATTCTGATGTAGGCTTCTCCTGAACTTGGCAACAATTGAAAACAGCGACTCAGAAGGCTGGTTGATCAGTCAATTCATCATAAATCCATAAAGTTGATCGATCCACGCACTATTTGCTTAGCACTTTACTGTGTGATATGTGTCAGTGACAACCGGGGAATACAAGGACGGTTACCAGTCGCATGCAGATCCATATATTTGTGATCAGGGGAAGAACAGACTCAACCTACCGGCGTCAAAACAAACACAGGTTGCTTCGCCATGCATGCCGTGTATGGCTCATGGCTTCTATTGTCAATGCATTTTCGCAACAGTTGAGTCCTTAAACTAAACACAACTCATTCAATCTTAATCTTATCGGCGTTTGGATCTCTAAGGGCTAACGTGACGTGTTGGAGGTTAACATATGACCCACCAATCTGGGCAAACCCAGTGACTGTGGTAATTCTTATGCAGATTTTGGCGTGCCCCGTTGTACTGGTTGTCATGCCGGGATTCCCCACGCCGACTGTACCGTCTGATGCAATACTGCGCAACCTCAAGCCGACCTTTCACAATCCCGCGTCACGCCCCTCGCACACCTGTGCCTCGGCCAATCACGGCGAGACAAAGTCCCCAGGGGAATGTTGGTCAATGTGGCTTCCATCGTTTTTGGTGGTCATTTTCTGATGCAAACCGGTGTCTCGATTGCACGAGTGTCATTTGGACAGGTCGGCCGTGTAAGGCATACAGATTTACAGACATCTTATAAAAGGTGGGCATCTGATGCAACCAGCATTTCTTCTGCCCGCACCGCACGTGTGAGAAGCTCGCAGCACCGGGGTTCTTTCCACAACCGAGTACGAGACCACTTGAATGAAGATACCATCTATCTCCGCTCTTAACTTCTGTCATGAGGGTCCTTGGCAAGCAGGCACAGACAACACATTCAGCCATCAGCAGAACATGTGGGACTATTGGGAGCCTTGACAGTCAGAAACATGTATGATGAATTACTACCTTGTTCTTGGTCTTGATATGCATTGATTGTGTGTTTGAGGTCCCTTTGCTTCTTCCATTGCTGTTTCCATTCACAGTGGTTTCGATTAATGTTAATCGGAAGTCGCGATACACATTCTCTTTCTCTCGTGTCACCGTGCTCGTGTCAGGTTTGGGTAACAATGTTCTCGGATCTCGTTACCAGACTTCTTTGATTAGCGTCTCAAGGTAATAGCATAAAGACAGGGCCGCTCGGTAGCAGTGAGTTGTAAATTTTCTCATTGATTGTGCCTTTTCTTTGTTTTCAATGGTGGATTTGATCTTGGTGGTACTTCAACCCTTACGGATAGTAAGACCTCTGTCAGCTGATGACCTTTGCTGACGCAAGCATAAGCGGTTATTGCGACATCATCATTACCTCCGGGTAGGGATGTATATCCCGAGCGCGGAGGTTTTGTGAGGGAAGACGAAAATTGCGTTCGCACCCGTTTCTCGCGTTTGGGTGGACGGATATGTCTGGGACTTGGTATACGTTTTGCTGTTGGGCTGTAGATGGTGCACGTTGTTTTGGTTTTTAGTATGTGTGTTTTAGTGCGTCAAAATGATGCGTTTAGACCGCCGATGGACACCCCTTTCAGTGTGAAAGTGGGCCTCAGCTTTTGACCTTTGCATGTATAAGGACGATTGAGGTCGCGACCACTGATCTGACC